TTCAACTTGTGAATGTCCTCCTAGGTTTGCCTCATGAGTGTTATGGGATATTATTTTAACTGGACAAATATGTGTTACATTTGTTTGTTTTTGCTGCGTTTGTTTAATTATGAGAAGATGTGTTGCTGTTTCACCTTGCCTGCCTAAGGCAACTGATTGGTCTAATAAAACACTGAACAGCCAATAGCCAGGTAGGAGAGGGAAAGGCAGGGCTGGCGGGCAGAGAGGATAAATAGGAGGAGAAATCTAAGGATGAGAGGAGAAGAAAGAGGAAAATGAGGGTGACGCGCTCAGGGCAAGAAGTCAGGGAACTGCCAGTCAGTCAGATATGAGCAGCAGTGAAAGTAAATTATACAGAAGGAAAGGAAAGTAAAAAGCCTCGAGGGAAAAGGTACATTAAAAAAAAAAACAGGTAAAAGAGCTTAAAGAGCTAGCCAGAAGTGAGCCTAAACTAGGCCCAACATTCATAACTAATAAGAAGTCTCTGTGTCCTGATTTGGGAGCTGGTTGATGGCCCAAGGTAAAGAGCCTGCTACATCTGAGAGCTAAGATTACAGCTTGCACCCAGGACCCGCTAGGGTGCTGATTCAGCTCCGGCAGCCAGGCCTGGCCTCCTGGGGAAGGGATGTTGATAGTTGAGAACCTAATGAAGGGAAAGTGGCAGTTATGTGAAGATCAGGGGGCCACGATTTCAAGCATAAAGCACAGTAAGAATAAGGATTGTGAGGTGGAAACCAACCTGGGATTGTTTTTAGGGTTGGAGGTAGGGGACGTATGGTTACAGTCATATGAATGTGCCAGGAGTGGTGACAGAGGGCTTTAGAGATTTGCGAGGCACCACGACCATAGGAATGTGGCCACTTGTGGGGGTCCTTACCACAGCAAGTGAATGTGTACTGAGCTGCACCCAAGTGAATATTCAAGAATTGTTTTTTGGAGGTCCAATATATAATGTCCATTAATTTATTATAATGAATTAGATGGAAACTTGCCTTAATCTCTACTAATGTAAAAATAATTCACCTTGAAAACAAGTTTTCTGTAGACAGGAGAATTATAGTTAATAATTACATTTGAGAATGTTCAATTTACTATAAGTAAAAAAATGAATGACACCATTGTAATCTGATGAAAATTAACTGTTTCTCAAGGGATTGGAAGCTTGTTCATGTGTCCTTTCTGTTTTCTGAAGTTGTAAAAAAAAAAAAAGAAAAAAAAACTAAATTAGGACTCTTTTCTCCAAAGAGCTCTCTATATGAACCTGGTTCGATCTGGAGTATTTTAACTGGTCAAGACTTCCATAATGTCTATTAGAGATGCGTGTGTTGCCACATCACCAGCGTGGCTAATCAATATTACTTCTGAGAACGGGAGGAAATGAAATACATGTACTGTGATGGAGAAGGAAGAAAACGTGAGTCAAAGTTGCTTTTAATTGTGTATCACACAGGCCCGCTGTTGCCCGTCATCCGCCTTGCTGGTGGGAAGAGCGGGCATGAAGGTCGGGTGGAGCTGTACCACGCTGGCCAGTGGGGGACCATCTGTGATGACCAATGGGACGACGCAGACGCAGAAGTCATCTGCAGGCAGCTGGGTCTCAGGTTTGTTCTGTGCTACATTTGCTTTGTGTCATTTTCTTAATTCTTGATATTGTTACCTCTGTAAACCAGAGAGGGTACTGTATGTTTAAATTGCACAGTTCCTTAAACCAATCAAAAAGACCACCTTTTTTATTTTTATTTTTGAATTAGTGTGTAAACTCCCTGAAGAGTACATACATGTATTCTATGGATCTAATCTGCCTTTGTCTGAGCGAGGAATTTTACTACTTCCAATATAGCCTTTACATTGTTCTTAGGTAATGGCTGTCATTGTCTACTACAGTTATTATTTATCATAAGTTGCTGGATGATGCACTGATTGTTAGATTCCTTTAAATTTAACTTTTCCAAAGATTACCTAAATGTTGGAAGTTCACTGCCTCTTTTGTTAGTTATGCTTTGGAGCCAAGGTTGTTTCTTCATGCACAAAGAAAGCAATTCCCATATATGGAATGGAATGACATGTATAAAGACATCAGGATGAAAACCAACATCCTATCTCCTTTCAGACTTGTGATTATTCTGGAATATTATGCTTTCTTAAAACATTGGTTAGCAAGGCTAAAAGTTTACCTGGGAGTACGTGAGATCTTTCAAAGGTTAATATTTTACACTAAATTTTGTTATTCTACTTAGCACTGTGCGGAAAGCCCCTGTGATAAGAATCTTTCAGGCACATATCATGTTTTCTAGTTAGCCAAAATCTTTGATATTGAGGTAGGATTTGTAATTTTGGGTCAATTCATTCTAAGTTATTTGGAATTGTTTTATGGCTTTTCCCTTTTCAAAATTCTATATTTACATGGAAGTATTTTAAAGTACTTAAAACTTTTATCTCTAAAAGCTGTTTTTTATTTATTTTTTTAAATTTCATTTTACATTCCTTCCACAGTTCTCCCTCTTTCCCCCTCCTCCCCCACCTTCCCCCAAGCCCACCCCTCATTCACTCCTCCCAACGGGTAAGCGTTCCCATGGGAAGTCAACAAAGTCTGGCACGTTAAGTTGGGGCAGTACGAAACCCCTCCCCCCTGTATCTAGGTTGAGTAAGGTATCCCTCCAGAGGGAATGGACTCCAATAAGCTAGCTCATGCACCAGGGATAGATCCTGGTCTTACTGCCAGGTGCTCACAGATAGTCCAAGCTTCTCCACTGACTATCACATATGGAGGGCCTAATTTGGTCCCATGGAGGCTCCACAGCTGTTGGTCTAGAGTTCATGAATTTCCCCGAGCTTGGTTCAGCTGTCTCTGTAGATTTCTCCATCATGATCTTGACCTCCCTTGCTCCTATGTTCCCTCCTCCCTCTCTTCGACTGGGTTCCTGGAGCTTGGCCTGGTGCTTGGTTGTGGATCTCTGCATCTGGCTCCTTCAGTTACTGAATGAAGGCTCAATGATGATAGTTGGGGGTATTCACCAGTCTGATTACAGGGAAGGCCAGTTCGGGCTCCCTTTCCACTATTGCTTGGAGTCTTATCCGGGGTCATTGTGGGTTCTTGGGAATTTCCCTAGCACCAGGTTTCTCCCTAAGTCCATCGTGGCTCTTTCTACCAAGATCTCTCTTTCATTACTCTCCCACTCAATCTCTGAAAGCTTTATGAATAAGAACACTGTCCAACATAGCCAACATACCATTACCACAATGAGCCGCATTTCTCATCATATTCAAGTGTTTGTAGTCACTCACACAGCGTCTTCGACACATGGTTTGTCCACAGGAGGACAAGGACAAAGTAATCGAGTGGAGTTGAACTTTATGGCCCTGAAGTTTTAGGACCTATGCCAGGCTCTTCTGCTTTCATAGCCTGGACTTGTTGAATGGACACACTGGAGACTGTCCCATCTTCTGACTTAGTGGCCTTACGTCATTTGTCCTTACAGATTCTGAAATTGGGAACTAGTCACAAAGGCTTCACTGGCTCAGTGCTAGCGTTCTGCTTAGGGACCATCACAGGTGATGGGATATTTTCTTCTCCACCAGGGGTCAAAATGGCTCCTTTTTGTTTGTTTGTTGGTTTGCTTAAACCCATAATGGCAAGGCTAAAATTGATCATTAAGGGAACGTTTTCAGTTTCTCTGTGTAACTGGAACTAACTGCTGATTTGTAGTTCCTGTGTGGGAAAAGTAACAAGCATGAGAAATCCTAGGACAGTGGCTTTGACCTTAAACACTAGCAGTATTGTTGGCTAGTCTTCCTTCAGACAGGGCTAGTCAGTTCCTTTTAACAAAACTGTAACAAATTGTGGATTTTTCCAGATGAATTTTTTAATAGTTTGACTAGGCGTCAGTTTCAAGGCCAGTGCTATGAATGTTTCCGAGTGTTGCTGTTGGAGACAGAATAGCGTAGCATGGGTGCCTGCCGGCCTCTCAAAGCCTGTGGTCCTACTCTGAGCTGTTCCAGGATAGCTCTTACTAACAGTTTTCTTGCCCTCCACATGTTTCTAATTTACAGCTTTTAGCTATGTAGCAGCCATCTAAAATTCATCGGCTGTCGGGGTCAATCTAATTAGGGAGCATTAAGAGTAAGCTGGGCATTTGGTGGTGAGATTATTAGACACAATTCCTCTATTCAGAGCTTCTATTTAGTTAGAGGTATTCCATTCCGGGTTCTGTATTTTCAAAACGCTCTAATGCAGTGGTTCTCAACCTTCCTAATGCTGCGACTGTTTAATACATTTCCTCGTGTTATGGTGACCACCAATCATAAAACTGTTTTCCTTGCTACTTCATAACTGCAATTTTACTACTATTATGAATTGTAATGTAAATACCTGATATGCAGGGTATCTGATATGTAATCTTGTGGGGCTCGCCACCCACAGGTTGAGAACTGCTGCTCTAATGTGTAGGATATGTACTGACTGAGCTGTCAATTACTTACACTCAGGGAGTGCTACGTGTTTTTTTTTTTATCTTGACTATGAAGAAGTCTATGCCTTTACCCCAAATAGCATTGTAAAGACTATGCCAATAGCATATTGACTTTTTATTAATTACAATTTTTAATTTTTTTGAGATTTTAATACACGAGTACACTACTTACATCATTTCCACACCTCCTTCTTGCCACTCCAACTCCTCCTGTTTCCCCAGTCTCCCTTTCAAGTCCATGGCCTCTTTTAAAATTGTTGTTACATATATACCCTATATACATAGATAAACACACACACACACACACATGCACACACACACACACACACACACACACAAAATACAGCCTGCTGAGTGCATTTAGTGTGGCTCATGTGTATATGTGTTTAGGAATGAACACTTGGGATTGGGTAACCTATCAAATAGATTGTCCGTGAAGAAGACTGAATCTTCCCTTCTCAGTGGATATTAATTGCCTTAGCTCTTCCTCCACGGATAGGCCTTATGAGATTTCTCCCATCCACAATGGCATGACGATGGATGCTATCATGCTGATCTCAACGGCAACCAAAATGTTGAGATTTCATGGGCGCAGCTTCCCTGTCTAGCAAACCTGATCTCATAGCAGATATCCTAGTGCCCTGAGTCATAGAATCTCTCTGCCTGCTTCTGCGATGTTCCCTGAGCCTTAGGTATAGGAGGTGTGATATAGATGTGCCAGTTGGGGTGGGCACCCCACAGCCAGAGGTTCTCTGCATTCTTCCAATGGTGGATCTCTGTAACTGTCTCCATCTCCTGTAAAGAGAAGCTCCCTTGCTGAGGGGTCAGAGCTACACTTATCTACAGGGAAGGATTTAGAATGCAGTCAGAAATGATACCGGTTTAGAAAAGCGACAGTAATAGGTTTTCCTCTAGGGCTTATGGCCTTACAAGTCATGGGTGACTATCTGGGTTTACATTGTCAGGTAGGAATTCCCTCTTAATGAGTGGGATAAGTCCAATGAGATGATCCTCAGTTACTCCCAAGAAATAAGCACCACTATGACATCGTTAGAGATGTTTTGCCATGCTGGTCACTGCTGTTGTTAGCCATCTTTCCATTCGGGTAGGACTAGTGATTATTTTTCTCCCCCATCAGCTTGCACAGCACCTTCAGACACTAAGAATGTGAGTCCTCAGGAAGGAGGCTTCAAAGTCAGCTCCAGACCCATTCTCCCACCTCCTCCATCGAAAGTGTGTAGCATCTCCAGTAGCAGGGTTGTATCTTCAAGTGCTGGGAGGCAACCAAAGGCAAAGGAAAAAGCCAATATTGTTTTGGGTATCTCTTGGACTCCCCTCTTTATTTTTACTTTTATTTTTATTTTTATTTTTATTTTATTTTTTGGTTTTTCAAGGCAGAGTTTCTCTGTGTAGCTTTGGAACCTGTCCTGGAACTAGCTCTTGTAGAACAGGCTGGCCTCAAACTCACAGACATCTCCTGCCTCTGCCTCCTGAGTGCTGGGATTAAAGGTGTGCGCCGCCACCATCTGGCATTTGATTTTAATATTTATAATAAGGATTACTTTAAACCACAAGGCAGTTTTTATTATCCATATGTTTCTGTGGAGAAAGCCAATGTCCTGTGTCTTAGAAAAAGGCATATTAAATTCACATGACACATGGAATATTAAGCATACTTGGAGCTATCAAGAGATTCTGAAATTTCCTGCTACAGTATAGCTAGTAGTTCCTAAAAAGACTTTGCTGACAACATTCTAGTATTTGGGGAGGCGATGGAATCATGCACACCAGGGAAAACTATGCTAACGTTGAGCACACAGCTAGATTAAGTAAGGAGTATTAGTTTGTTGCTTTCTTCCTTGATTGAAGACTGACTCCTGACCTTCACGTGTTCTGTCACTAAGTTATATCCCCAGTTCTGTCTTTCTCATTTTTAAATTCTTTATTTTGAAAAAGAAACTAACTTATCCAGGCTGCTCTTGAGCTCACATTGTAATCCAGAAAGCTCCTAAACTTGTAAACCTCCTGCTTCAGCCTCCCACATATCTGGGAGGAGTTTTGGAGGCTTCGCTCTGTAGTTGATTGACCCCTTTTGCTTTGGGGCCTATGATGGGGCAGAACATCATGTTAAAACAAGCTCCTTACCTCAGGACTGGCCAAATATCCCAAAGTACTCTCTGATGGCTTCCCCTAATGATCTAAGACCTCTTCCACTGCTTAATGGTTTCAGCGTTAAAGGTTGATGGTGCTGTGGCAAGGCAGCAGAGTCCCTCCTGAAATCCCCAAGCAACAAACAACCCATCATCATAGAGATTTTCATGGTGTATGTGCCCTGATGTGCTTGGGTTGAGCTGTCCACAGGACTTTATTTCAGCTGACTCTACAGTTCGCTCATAATTTGTCTTCAAATGACACTTTGCCAACTGCCCCTCCTCTGTGTTTGTTCACTGAAAGGCTAAGTACCTTTGGATAAAATTGTTTTTAGTGGTCCATGCTTGACAGGAGACAGCATAGTTGTTTCTTGCTTTATTTGTTTTGTTCTTAGGCGGATCTCATCTCACTATTGCTTGCCTTGTTGGATTCCCAAAAGGAGCCTGCATCATGAGTTGCTGCCGTGCTGGTTGCAATTTCCGTGTGAGATTTTGTCATTGTGACCTTTGTATTTGAATAGCATCTGTGTATATTGGTAGCTGGAAAGCTTTCTCAATGCAAAAGAAATTATTGTACTTAAGATAATTAAATTTGATTAACTCAGTATGTGGGGATGATGAAGAAGAAAAGGGAAGCAGGCAAATGCTTTCAAATTAGATAACTTGGGGATGCTTATGTACTCAGTACTTTTAGGTGAGCCATTCTCGAGTTCCTTTCTGTGAGCTCAATATTAAAAGCATTTTAAAAGCACAGCTTAGCATGACATCACATTTAACTGTGCTGAAGTTCCATAATTTACACAAAAATTTAATTATTTAAATGCATCTTTCCATTAGTTTTGTTTTTTTTAGAGGGAGCTATAAAATTCTCCTATAGAATGATAGTAAATGTTAGGATAAAATTATTATAGTATATGTTGATTTTTAAACATTTTCTTTCCCTCTCCATTAGAAAAACTTTGACTGTCTTTCAATATTTACAATAAAAATTTCTGGGTAAATGGCCTTGGGTGTTCAGAGAGGAAAGTTCCTTAACAGATGCGGAAGTTGTGCCCACCTGTAGCCATGTTCTTGGTTCCATGCTGTGAGTCGGACCCAGTCTTGAGACTCAGCATCCCATCAGTAGAGGATTTCTTTTCACGCATGCTATACTCTGTAAAATGGCAGAACGAAAACATAGAGCTGAAAGACACAGAGAAGTAAGAAGAGAAAGAAAGTGCTAGTGACAGCGTTTTGGCTGCACTGTGTTAGACATGGTGTCTGCCATCAACTGAAAACATCCTCGGAGGCTGTAATGTGGTAGCGGTTCAGGGCCTGTTGATAGCTACCATTTAAATGCAGTGGGATGTTGGGAAAGCTATTGAACTTGTGAGCCTCCGTTTTCTTGCCCATAAAGTTGATGTGATAACATGATGAAGTTGGGAAAGATGAAATAAGGTCATAAGCACAGTGCTCACGGTGGTATTAGACCAGTGCCTGGCAAATCTTAAGCAGTCATTACACACTAGGAGTCATTGGTGATGGACAGGACCATGGACCAGCAAACCGATCACTAATAATGAGTTTCTATAGCCATAGGTTCCAAGTGTTACCAACCGATATGTGTAGTTAAAGAACTATAAACTAAAGAGTATGTACTTACCTGGCCTTCCTACTTGTCTTTGTCAAATAGTGGCCATGTTTGGGTCCTGAGTTGATCATATGGTGGTGTGTATTTGGCCATCGCTATAATAGTTCCGTGTGCTTTGATTAGTGAACACACTGAATGAGGGTCAGGCACAGAATTAAGCCGGCGAGTGTTCATTGGGAATTATTATCACCTATGTCAACTAGCTTCACAAATGAAACAAGCCAGGGTGTTATATCAGAACAACATTTCCCATAAGCTTTCTCTGTAGTCAGGACATGCAAGGAGTGAATGCTTGGATCTTCAGCATGAAACTGGCTGGCTGGTGCGGAAATGATCTCCGTATGGGAAGGACAGACACACGTAGCTTACTCAGTTCATGTAGATGGGAAGGACAGAGCACACATGGCTTACTCAATTGACGTAGAACTTTCTGACATTCTAGCTAATGAATTTGATGCCTCTTTCCCCAGTATTATCTGATCTCTTTAGAAGAAGTCATTTATTTCTTTGCTTTTCCTAGGAAAACCAGCAGCAGGGCACTAGGAGTTTCTGCTTAAAGGAACGTGTGTGTGTGTATAAACACACATCATCTTAATTTTAATAAACTCAAACAATGACTAGAAAACTAAGTTAATGTTGCATGATATTTTCCTGATTATTATTCCCCCCTCACGTTTATTATTGTTTTTATGATCCATTTATCTTAATTAAATGTTTTTGAGATCTTTAACATGATATTGTTTCAGTGGAAAATATGGAAATCCATTTAACAGAAAACAAAACACGCACTGATGCTTTAGAAATAGATTCTGGCATAGGTCACTTCTCCCGACTCAGCATTTGGAAGCCGCATGTACTGGGTTCTTCCTTAAGTATGCGAGGTAGGCCAGACAGAAGCAACAGGCCTGATGTTTTGTTCTGAGAACTAACCAGTGTATCTGGAATGCAACATGGCTCAGTTACTCTGCCCAGAGAATGGGCTGTCACACCCAGTCAACGGATGACATTAGACTTCGTATTTCTTCCCCCTTGGGGACAGAAATCCTTTGCCAAAATATTGCATGAAAGATGATACTAATCCTTTAACTCTGTGAAAAATGTGACAGGTAAGAATGCTTTATTTTGCTTTAATTTGACCACTTACAAGCTTGAACATCTTAGGTGGTCAGTGACCACGGGTAATTCTTCCTTCACTTTAATCCAAACCATTGCCTTATTATTTTTCAAATTGGTTGCTGTCTTGTTTGTTAAAATTTAACAATATTCTTATCCTTATCCTAGGAGTTGGTTTGGTTACTATTACATATTGCAAATATTTATTCCACAGTATGCCATTTCCTGTGACTGATTATGTGGTAGTTTACAATGATCCTCAGATGCAATCTTTTTAGGCTTCATTTTCCTCCCTTCTGTGCTTCCTGTCTTCCTCAGGAAACCATCTACATCCAAGGTTATAAGAACAGTCCTCCTATTATCCTATTATTTCAGCAGAGGAACTTTTTACCATCCGTCTCTCTCTTTTTCTCTCTCTGTCTCTGTCTGTCTGTCTGTCTGTCTGTTTCTCTCTCTCTCTCTCACACACACACACACACACACACACACACACAGACTCTTCTTCCTCCCCCTCCCCTTCTCCTTTTCTTTTACTTGCTCATCTTTAAACCACCTGGATTTAATTTGTTTCTGGTAGGAGTTTGGGATCAAATTTTCCATTATCCCCTGATGTTTTGGTTTCCTTCTAGCCTTATTGCAGTCAGTGAATTGTATCCAGTGAAAATTTTTCCTCAACATCATCTCTTCCTGGTGCAAAGTTCTAAGGAGGTGATGAGTTTGCCTTACCTTAAGCCTGGCTTCTCCATGGCCCGACAGCCCCGCCCCCAGTCATCAGTCAGTGTGTCCCCTGAGCCACATTCTATGCTTGCTTCCATTAATTTCTCTCTTGTAAAGGGCCATGTCTTAGGGTTTTTTTTTTTCCTGTGATAATTTATCATCACCAAAGGCAATTAGGGGAGAAAAGGGTTGGTTTTGGCTTACAGTTCCAGAGAGATAAAATCCATTGTGGTGGGGGAGTCATAGCAACAGTCAAGAAAAGCATGGAGGAGCAAGCTTTGTGCCAGACGGAAGCTGGCCGAACACATGAGCATTAACACACAGTAAGCAGAGAGAAAGAGCAGGAAGTGGGACCAAGCTACACAACCTTGAAGCCTAGAGGTACTTCCTCCAGGGAAGCACCTCCTCTTAAGGGATCCATAAACTCTGCATGCAGCATGAGAAATTGAGGATCAAACGTTCAAGAACATTAGTTTATGGGACACATCTCTCATTTAAACCACCGTAGACCAGACAGCAAATACCTTAGACTGTGTAGACGGTAGACAGTGGCACCGCTGTAGCACCAACACTGCCATAGGCACAAATGTGGCTTAGTTTTAATGCAATTTTGCATTTGTATAAGAATAGTTGGGTTTCAGTTAATGTTGCACATCACCAGTTACGCTATCCTTTCAGTCTCTCCCTTGCCGCTGATCATTCGGAATTTGTAGAAATCCCTCTTAGTGCCATGGCAGCCTGGAAATGGGTGTCATTCAGTCTTTGGTCCGTGGGTCATCATTTGTCATCTGATCCGCAGCCATTAGCTGGGTATCTTCTGTCTTGTTATGGATCCTTCTAAAAAAGGAGTCACAAATCTCAGGTGTAGAATTCAAAGCACATTTCTTCAAAAGTTAACTCATTTTCACAATGGCATATCGTTGTTGCTCTTTCCATTACATCTGCTAAGTAGATTCTGATCTTTATTATTTGCTGGGATAGACTATTAAGGGTAGAAGGTGGTTTGAGCATTGGGATTCTGAATTGGGAAATATTTCAACAGCAAAAGGAAATGTATTTTTCTTTCCCTTGATTTCCTCCATCACCCCCCCTCAAGCATTCTTCAGTCCACCTCCTTGGCACTTTCTGAATTGTCTGCATAGTCAGTCAAGCCATAGTGGTGTAAATGGGCCCTGTGCATTTGGCTTGATGTTATTTAAAGAGAGGCTTAGTTTTTAAATGTTTTAGACATGAGTGTTGAAATTTAGAAAAAGTGTGTGCGAGAGAAAGATGTCATGCAACAGAGTTCACGTGGCAGGGAATTTATTAGGGGAAAGGGAAGATAAGAAGAGGGAAGTGGTGGAGACTGGGGACAGGAGCGGCGGAAGGGAAGAGAGAGGCAGAGAGGGAGAGAGGAAGGGGGAGAGAGAGAGAGAGAGAGAGAGAGAGAGAGAGAGAGAGACAGAGAGAGACAGAGAGAGACAGAGAGAGAGACAGACAGACATAGAAACTGACAGAGAAAAAGAGAGAGCTGGGAGGTGGGCAGGGCCCTTTTAATGGGAATACAGTGAATGTGCAAAGGGGGCGCTCTTAGTGGCTACAACTGAGGACGTAGCCTACCAGAACCCCGAGGGCAGATGCCTGAATACTAACAATGAGTACTCTTTTTTTCTTTTGTTTTTTTTATTAAATTATAAAAGTTTCCATTTCAGCCCCTCCTCCCAACACCCTCCCACTCCCCCCACTCCCTCTCCTCCTCCCTCTCCATCCCCTAGAGCAGTCAGGGTTCCTGGCCCACAACAATGAGTACTCTTGAGACCTCGACAATACCTAGTAAAATGAATCAAATAAAGATCTTGAAGTTGCCTGCATAAGACTTTGCTATCACTGGGATATTACACCCATCTAGTGAATGTTTTTCTCTCAATATGTTCTTGTTGCAATTCTCGAGACAGTTATGGAATAATGAATAAAGGAATAATATATCCTTCATATAATATCAACGAAGAACTGAAGATATAAGATAAAAATCTTAAAGGCCAAGGATAAAAGATAAAGGGGGCTGAAAGGCAATTTCTAAAGATGGTCTTCATTCAGTGGGCCATGCCATCTTCCTTGAACTTAGGACACGATTTTTCAAACTGTCGGAGAAGTTCCATATGAGTAAACTTGTGGGATGCTATTTTTGTCAGAAATGGATTTGACTGAATGACAGGAATTGAACATAACAACAACTTAAACAAATTTAGACATGCACCTCATTGGCTCTCAAAGAAGAAATCAGAGGCAGCCAGCAGAGTCTCGTCCAGTGGGTCCTTTGGGACCCTTGACTCTTTCCTTCTTCCATCTCCGCTCCCTTAATAGGGCATTTTGCTGGACATGGCACTCTTGCTTTCTATCCAGTGCTCCAGAGGCTGAGGCAGAATGATTGTTTACTGTGAGTTTAAGGCTAGTCAAGACCACATAGACGGTTTCGGAGAAGCCTGTGTATGACAGGGCTCTGGTTTTAGACCCTGTCTCCAAAACAGTGTGTGCACGGAGGCGGCACAACTTGGGCCAGTGTAGCTTCTTTAATTCCAGCCATTACCTTCACTTTATGTGCAATAGGAAGGAGATGGAATGAAGACAATGGCCTTTAAATAATCCACAGCACTTTCTTTCTAAATAGTGCTGCTAAAAACTTAATATCGGTAACGTTTTATTTCGAGATGATGACAACCTTCTGCAGACAGATGGCACTGATAATTGCACACCAACGTGAATGGGTTAATGTGCTTAAACATTGTTAAAATGGTGTTTATGTCAGGATATAAACAGCGCTCTAGTAGGATAAAATGCTTGGAAAGGCAGTGTTTATTTTGGGTAGTCATTACTGTACTTTTTAAAACACTGAGATTATGTTATTAATGAAGAAGGGAGGGCAAAGGTTGAGAAATACCAAGTAGTTTTTAAACATGTGTAGTAGTGGTCATTGGAATTACAATGAAGACAAATTGCAGGAACTCACAAATGATGGAAGGCGTGGGTTTCGGGCGTAGGGTTAATCACTGTGTGGTTGACGGGAGCGAGGAAATGAGACAGGAGCACCTTTCACTGTGAATGCCAGAATTCATCCCGTTTTACGTTCACTCAGTGGCATTGCCAAAGCGTGGCATGGTGCACATTTTGGGGAAGGATCTGGTCCGATACTGTTGGACGAAGTACGCTGCACTGGAAACGAGCTGTCCGTTGAGCAGTGTCCAAAGAGCTCCTGGGGAGAGCACGACTGTGGCCATAAAGAAGATGCTGGAGTGTCTTGTGTCCCTCTCACAGGTAAGGTGTCACTTCCTAGATGTGCCGTCTTCTGCTCTCGTGACGGGTATTGCCACTGCTTCCTTTCTTAATTCAGATATTGTCGAAGGAGCAGACAGATAAAGCTCCTAAGCAAAACTCAAGATAAAATCAAACACGATTTTTATTTCAAAATACAATGTCTTGGGGCTGGAGAGATGGCTCAGAGGTTAAGAGCACTGATTGCTCTTCCATAGGTCCTGAGTTCAATTCCCAGCAACCACATGGTGGCTCATGGCCATCTGTAATGAGATCTGGTGCCCTCTTCTGGCCTTCAACAGACAGACAGAACATTGTATACATAATAAATAAATAAATCTTTAAAAAAAAAAGAAAAACAAAACAAAACAAAACAAAACCCAAAATACAATGCCTTCACTCACAGTTATTTCTAAAAGTTTCTATTTAAAGTCCAACAAAGCGAGATCAGAAACTATTAATTTTTTTTTTTTGCAATCTGCAGTACCCAACAAAATCAATGCACAGTGACACATGCCAACAACAGGTGCCAGTATATGACATCTTAATCCATTCAACTGCCCACCAGTCTTTCCCAGAATGTCTTTGTGATTGCTGTCAAGCTGTGTTTATGTGATTGCTGATGAAAGGGAACTGATAAAGAGGCCACACTAGCTTTGGAATCAGATTTTAGACTAATGCGCATTGCATCATGTCTGTCTTATAGGTCATATGCCATAAGGAGGGGGGATGTTTTAAATTATTTTTACTTCTGTGTATTTGTGTGGGTATGTGAAAAGTAGTAGAATTCGTATCTATGGAACTCTGGTTTCTATCTTTTTATTCATGCTGTTGCTTTTATTAGCAACACAATGCATTTGTACCGAATAGAAATTTCTAATTTACACAGAGGTAAAGGCAGAATTTCATTTCCTTGATCCACCCTCTTTCAAATGAGGTAATCTCGTTAGTGCTATGATGGGCATACGATAGTGTTTTGAAGACAATAAATTTCAAACACGAGATGGTTTTTTGTCAAGAGACTTTTATTCACTTCAGTGGGTGCCAGAGATCTATGAGAGGTATCTTCTACTCTCTGGTTACCTGTGCTCCATTGAGAAGTGTTTGGATTATTATAGATGAAAACGACATCTAAATCTATCCTTTTTGGTAATGAAATTTATTGTGCTATCTGCACACAAACTCTTCTTAGAATTTTCTGTGTGTAATTAGTCACTGAGCTAGTAAGATTTAAGTTTCATATCTGTACTCTCAGCAAAAGACCACAGATAAGACGTGTTTTTATCATCCGTGGATGTCTGAGGAATAATGACTTCTTCAGCAAGCTAGATTGCTCTTTACCTGACGTGTGCAGTTAAGAATTTGAAATACCCTCTCTCAGTCCCTATATATATATTTTTTTGCCATTTCAACAAAAGTGACCACTGTCCTTTAGAATTAAGAAGACTGGAATTATGGGAAACTTCCCAATGGAATTTAATATAGAAAAATTAAAAATATGCATTATGAAATTATCTCAGAATGTATTTTCTGCTTGGAGAATAGAGGACAATGATGAGGAAGAGAGATGCATTAATGCTCAGGAATGGGGCAATGACCTCACATGACTGAGTAGAGCAATGGTGTTGGGTTATCAAATGGCTCAGAGGGAGGCCTAACGCCAAAGGTACCTCAGGCCAAAGATGCTTCCTTCTTTTTTTTCCCTTAAAGTTAATCTGCTTTGTGTCTGTCTTTATCTTTTTACCACAGATGGTGTCATCAGACTTGCTGGAGGGAGAAGTGGCCACGAAGGCCGCCTGGAGGTATACTTCCGGGGAAAGTGGGGGACAGTCTGCGATGACGGCTGGACCGAGATGAACACATACGTGGCTTGCCGACTGCTGGGATTTAAGTAAGGCTCACTGGTGTGGGGACATTGAACACCAAAACACATCTTTACAGTCAGAATTGCTGCATGACCCTTACCTGTAATTCTAGAGATAGATATGCATAACCTATCAGTTAGTTATCTACATATTATCTATTTGTCTATCTTCTGTCATCGTCAGCATCTATAGTCATCATTTGTCATATCAGGAATGCCTGCCTACCTACCTACTACCTAGCTACCTATTTATCTACCTATTACCTCACCAATTTACCTACAAACAGTAGTACAATAAAAATGACGTTTTTAAAGATCACGAGTAGCCACGTCTTATCACTTCTTTCATGTACTAGTTCCTGTACCTATCAACATCTCTTTTCTTGGACAAATTGCTTGACGCTAAGAGTGACTTCTGGCCCACGCTTTGTCTATTCAGGCAAGCTGCTGAATGCTTGCTTTTATGATGATGTATTGCTATGACTGGATGGTACTCGTTTTGACATCATTGTGTCTAAAATTTTAGCAATTTCAGTGGGGAATGCTGTGGTGTCACGTGCTTCTTTCTTGGAACAGGATGATAATTGACACTTCTGTTGGAAAAGAACAGCCCTCTTGTCGTGAGATGACCTTTAGAACTAGCCTTTGACCTTGCCCACTTATAGTCTGAGTGCCAAACTTTGGGGCAGTATATGTCATGTTACATACATAATGCATTCCAAAATAAAGACTTAAGTTGGTTGAAGTAGCAAAACAATGCCCTGGAGGTAAATATTCAAATGAAGTCCATGATGCCCCTTTTTTCTTATCTTTCATATTTCTATACCATGATTTTAAAAATTGGTGAATTACTTAATATCAGTTTGAAATACAGTTAATTACAAATATTCACGAAGCCTTAAAATATGTATCTCATTCAAGCTGGGTAAAGCTATGCTTAAGGGTGTATTTTTAAAAGAAAGAAAATGAAATACTGTCCACAATTTCCCTTTCCTACCCATCGCTTGGAATTTTCATGTGTAATTTTATGTCAGCTCCTTTATAAATCTGATCTCATAGCCAACTTGCTTTACTTTGTCAACAGCACAGTGTCACAAGTTTTGGTGTATTTTAGTATCCATTAAATAGTCACACCATGATCTAATGAATATTCAGGCCATTTTTCTAGGGTAAAATTGACTATTTAATAATAAATAATGCTATAATGAAAATTCAAATGTGCAAATTCACCAACATTCATGCGTTCGTGTGAGCGTGTGCCACATTTAGGTTACAGAGGAAGTTCTGAAAGCGATGATTCATTGGGGTTGAGAAAGAGTAAACTTGGTGTCTTTGTACAAATGCAGTCTTAAAGCTAACAAAACTTCCTGTTATATGTTTTGTGGCTGAATTACACAGAGGGAAGTCAGTGTCAGAGTAAGGCATTTGCTAGTCCAACGCTTTAAGCCAAAAGTGACAGCAATATACAATTTAAGTCCATTGTTTTTTTTATTTTTGCTAAAATTTGATTAGTTTGAAAAGTAGTCTTAAGAAGACTACTTAAAAACTGTGTTGCCTTTAATCCCAGGACTCGAGGCAGGCAGATCTCTGTGAGTTCAAGGCCATTCTGGTCTACGGAGTGAGTTCCAGGACAGCCAGTGCTACAAAGAAAAATCCTATTTTGAAACAACAAAAAACAAAACAAAAAAAAACCCAAACCAAAATAAGACCATGTTGTTTTAACTTACTAAATAATTCATCTAGTTAGAGAGATCTAGTATTTGCACAGCAGAACCATTAGAAAAATTGATGGCAAATGGAGAGATGTTGTCATATTCTTAATGAAGAAATAATAAAAGTATTGAGTGAGGGGAATAATGGGCATACAATTTCTGACTGAGAGTTGAATTTTACAGACTCTAAGAATTGAAGGCACTTGGAAGATCTTTAAACTCATTGATAATCTGAATGATTTTTAAGGAATTAATGAAAAACTGGAAGAAGGGTGAAAGTGAATACAGTTACTTAGTTGCCAGTTTTTAAATTTATAGATATTTGCGTTTCACAGCCTATCGTTTATTGCAATACATAATATAATGTAATAAAGTCAATTGGCACACAGTGTCATTTATAAAAATGTATGTATTAAACTTATATAACCCTTCAAAAAGCACTGTCATTGTTTTTACTTTGATGGGCTAATATGAAAATTGTAATTTCTGGATTGGGTCCTGTTTTTGAGCAGTCACTGAGTTCTGGGACATTTTCTATCTTGGAGAAGGACTCCAGAATGCCCCAGGGAAGCAGATAAACTCAAATCAGCTTGAATACCTTGAGCAGAGCCCCAAACAAACAATTGTTTTCCTTTTTACTTCACAGAGTTGATCCCTGGCCAGGAATGTGAGGTTTGTCTCTTTGCACGCTCCCTGGCTGGTGGGTTAAACTGTAGACAAAACACAATTACTGGTTAGTTACTCATCACGTCAACCAAAAGATGTTAGGATGCTTTAAATGCACGGCAAAGCAGAGCTGGGTCTCCAAGGCAGGAGAAAGGTCAGATTCTTACCCTCTGAAGTCACGATACTTAATTAGGTTGCTTTTTAATGGTCCTTTGGTTCAGGGGATGGCAGTTCTGTGAACAGTGCTCATTTCATTGCTGCAGATACGGCAAACAGTCCTCTGTAAACCATTTTGAAGGCAGCAATGGGCCCATATGGCTGGATGACGTCAACTGCTCAGGAAAAGAAGCCAGTTTCATTCAGTGCTCCAGGAGACAGTGGGGAAGGCACGACTGCAGCCACAGGGAGGATGTGGGCCTCACCTGCTACCCTGACAGTGATGGACACAGGCTTTCTCCAGGTAAGGATGGGATGTTGCTCTTGAAGACACAGGCATCCTCTCTGCTTCTCCAGCCACTTGTCTGGAATGCAAACCATTTCCCATCCCTGACTTACTGCTTAGAGGTCTGTTTCCCAAGAAAAAG